GGCTGGATGGGGGGGGGGGGACGACAGCGGTCAGGCCATCAGCCAGCTCCACTCCCTTCCTCCTCCTCACCACCATCTGCGCCCCATGCCACAAGCACTTCACAGTTTACATGAGGCTTCTGCCCACAGTGCACGTTTTTTCCACACACAGCACTTTCGGGATGTGTGGCTCTCTGTGGTTTCCGTGACTAGCATCTGGCTGCCCTGCTGGAGTGTGAGCCCTGGTCAGGCGGAGCCCAGGTGGCCCTGTGCACCAGACAGTCTTAGAGGTGGGCAGGATTTTCAACCTCATTTTGCATTAGGAAATAGAGGCCCAAAGAAGTGACTCTCCTATGTCACCCCCTCAGCACAGGGTGATGTGGCCCAGCCAAGCAGCCAAGAACGTGGACTCTGGACCTGGACATGTGGGTACAAATCATGACTCCATGACTCAATAGCTGTGTGACCTTGGATAAGTTACTTAGCCTCTCTGTGCCTCCGTTTTTCATCTAAAGACAAAGAATGACAGCCCACCTCCTAGGGTTACTGTGGCGTTCTAACGGCTGAATACTTGTCAAGTGCTCAGGACAACGCCTGGTACACAGTGAGCTCCATATGAGAGTTTGTTAAATCAGGGGTTTGCCACAGTCTGGTCTGTCACTGTTTTTGTACAGGTTGTGAGCTAAGAATGGTTTTTACATTTTTAAATGGTTGAAAAAAATTAAAGATTAATATTTTATAACGTGAAATTATGTGACGTTCAAATTTTAGTGTCCATAAATTGGTTTTACTAGACTACAGCCATGCCCATATGTTTCCATATTGTCTGTGGCTGCTTTCTCCCACAGCAGTGGCACATTTGCGTAGCTGTGACAGACCTATGATCAAAAGCCTCCAGTATCTGCTGCCTGGCCTACTACAGAAAACACCTGCCGGCCCTTGTGTCCAAGAAGTCAATCCAGTGCAGGCAGCCCTTTTATGCAGGACCCTGGGCCTTGCTGCCTCCACAACCCTTGCCAGACTCCACTCCCCGGGCTGCTCTGTGACTCGCCTAATATCGTTTTCTCACGGAACATAAATAACAACAGTAATAAAATATTAGCCGACATTTGAGTGTCATCCAATGCCAGGCCCTATGCTGACGTTCTTCAAAAACACTGTCTATAGTGGTCCTTCCAACAGCCCGGTGTTAGCCTTGCTTCAGACATGGAAACTGAGGCCCAGAGAGGTTGAGTTACTTGCCCGAGGTCACACAGTTGGGACATGGTACAGCTGGGCTCTAACCCATGATGGCTTTCCTGGGTGTCTGGTGTTTCAGCTCTGGGGGCTCAAGACAGGTGCCCAGTTCCAGACACCCCGATGAGGAGGACCTAGCAATTCCCCTCCAAGGTTACCCGCCCACATTACCCGAACAGGTACACAGGCCCTTGCCTCAGGCTTCCGGGTGATTGCTGGGTGCCAGAAAGAAAGGAGATGGAGGGGGCCACATTCTCACCCACTGCCCAGCATGAGAGGTTAAAATGAGAACTGAGGCAAGTGAAGGGCTGGTGAGACCTCTCTTAGCACGGCAGAGGGAGGAGAGGGTCAGAGGGAGTTTGCTATGAGGTGGAGGGTACAGGCAATGCTACACCTCCCCAGGGGAGGCTGAGATCCCCAAGGTCTCACTCCAGAAGGAGCTAGGATTCCAGCTGTGCTCTGAGCGGAGGCAGAGCACCTGATCCCTCCCTGGACTGGCCAGTCACCGCAGCCAAGGGCCCCCAGCCCCGCCCACCTCAACTGTGGCCTCTGGAGTGCTCAGTATCCTGAGGCCAGCTCCTAGCCTCTGGAAGGATCCTTTACAAGTAGCCCCCAGGAGGCCATGGAGGCCCAGAGAGGGTGTGTCCCCAGCTCCACATCACACAGCTGGTCCATGGGTGGGGCTGGACCAGCCCAGATCTGCATCTGGAGCTGCTGACTTTGCACTGTGTCCTGCCTCCCTGGTTCACACCCTCCCCCAGCTTTGAAGAGATGGAGGGTGTTTCTAGATTTCTAGTTCATGCTGAACTTACCCACTCCTAGCCCTGCTCTGAACTTGGACAGGCGGGAGGGTGGGAGAGAGGGAACATCCAAATGTCATTCCTCCCAACCCAGAGAAGGGGTTTTCACGCTCCTCCTCAGTGGCCAAGGCAGGCAGAACAGAAACCCAAAGGTCACGGCCCCTCCCTCCCCCAGAGCCACAAGTGTAAAGTTCAGACAGGCTCTGAGTGGGGCAGACAAATCCTCAGTCCTGCTCCTTCGGCTGGGACCCCAGTAAGGGGGGGCAGGGGCAACTGAGGGGGTTCTTTGTTTATTGGCAAAATCAGGACATGACATCAATCCCTGGTCCCTACAAAGTCCAGAGCCCTGTGTAAACCTCAGGCACTGGGCCGCCCAGGGCTGAGCTGCTCCCTAGCACAGTGGTTCTCAGCTAGGGGTGGTTCAGTCCTCCAGGGAGCATTTGGTTGTCACTCCTTGGAGGCAGTGCTTCTGGCACCAGGTAGGAGAGGCCAGCAATATTGCTGAGCACCCTACAATGCACAGGACAGCCCCCAAAGACAGGATGCTCAGGCCCCAAATACCAATGGTGCCAAGGCTGAGGAACCCTGCCCAGCAGGATGGGGAACCCGGAGGGAGCTCATTTTGCTCATTTTCTCATCAGTAAACGCTAGTAAAAACTCTGCCCTGCCTGCCTACCAAATATGGGAGTGCAGCAGCCACTGAGCACTGGCTTACCCCACACCCATTTCCAAGCCCTCCCTCTTGTCCTACTTCACCACCGAGGCTGGAAAAACAAAGTGTCCCATTTCTCGGACTCCTTTGCAGCTAGGGGTGGTCACATGACACTATTCAGGTCAATGAGACAACCGGAGGAGTCTACCCAGAGCTTTTGGGAGTGTGTCTGATTTCCCGATAAAAGGCACCGGGGTTGGCCTGGCCCTTACCCCCTATCTCCCCACCTCAACCTGAGGTCACAGGAAGTGGTAGTGATCACCCTCTTATGACATGAAGCCAGAAGCAAGAGAACAAAAGCCAACACAAGGAAGATGGCAGAGCCCAGGGTCCCGCTGGCCTCTCAGAGGGAGGCAGTTGAACTATTCCAGCAGCCAGCAGCCGCTCGACCCCTTGGCACGTGTGAAAGATAAAGCCCTTTTGTTTTAAGTAATCCTTACATTTTCAGTTACTTGTGGCCAAATGCCCTTCAGATGGAGAACTGATAAAATACTATGTCAGTGTTGTGTTTCTAGCAAAAGTCCTTCACAGATCCTACTTTATAAAAAAGATTGAAGGTGAGCTGCTTTGGTTGGGGGAATGGGGGCACAGGGACCCAAGGCCCAGCCCTCTAGCCACCACCTCAACCCCAGAGATGACCCTCAGGGCTCTCTGTGGAATACCAGGGTAACCCTGGCACGCAGTTTGAGGACCAACGCTCTTTGAGGAAGTGTTTTGTAAGCACCACAGAGATGCTGAGACTTGCTGCCAGCTGAATGAATGGCACAGCCCCCGAGCAGCACTGTTCAATGGTGAGGAAACAGGGCCACCTGACATTTCGCCTCTGCCTAAGGTCACACCACAGGTCCATGACCACATGCTTGCCACTGATACCACTAACCCCCTGCTCCGTGATGTGCAGTTCATATCCTGTCTCCTTTATTAGCCCTGGCTGGCCTTTCCTAGGCCTCCCAGGGCTCTGTACGCCACCTGGCCCTGGACAGACCAACCTGAAGGACTCTGCTTCCTGAGGGACAACCTGGCCCATCAGGAAGGAGAGCAGGAGAGGGGCAGAGGGAGGGATGGCACACTCACCACCTTGGCTTCTCCTTGCAGGCAGAAGGGCTTCTCTGCAAAGAAGGAGAGGGGACAAGTCAGGGACAGTGATTTCCTCAGGCCACGGGTCGTCTAACTAAGAGGGCAGAGTGGGGCCCAAGTAGAACCAGTGGAAGTAACCCAGCCTCAGGGGAAACAATGACCTACCAGATGAGGGGCACAGAGACCCCCACACCCAGCTCTCCAGCTGGCTCGACATTGCTTCTCTCTCCTCCACCACCCCCATTTTCCAAACTCCCCACTTTGACTCACACCATGCCTCTGCTCAGCATGGCCTTCTTTTCCTGCACACAGCCCCCCATCGAATCTTGCCCAGCTCAAACGCCACCTGCTCCAGAGGCCTGGCTCCCCCAGGATGCCCAGACAAGAGTCCCGGACTCCTCCCCCTTGGACGCCCTCACGGAGTCTTGCTTTCCTTTTTTTTTTTTTTTTTTTTTAATATATCTATTGATTTCAGAGAGAGGGAACGGAGAGTGAGAGAGCCATTGATCGGCTGCCTCCTGCACGCCCCCGACTGGGGATCAAGCCCGCAACCCGGGCCTGTGCCCTGACCAGGAATCGAACCCCGATCGCCTGG